TTGGTTAGCTTAAAAAATAGATGTAATTTTTGTTTAAACGAACTTTTTAGTGGAGCAGGTTTAATATTCTCTTTCTTTTGATTATTTTGTCCACACCTAATAAATGGACCTTAGATTTTCTTAATGTCACCTGAACACAAGCCAGGTGATAGAGTTATTTCCAAAAGATGAAAAATATTAACAAAAGATGAGAAATATAAAATAAAAAGCGGCCTTTATTCTGAGAACACGGAGAGAGATGACCGGCAACCCCCACCGCTGGCGTCCGGCGATCTCTCCGGCGGACACGCGGCGTGGGGGCCTGTAAATAGCCTCGGTTTGGGGTGGAACCTAAGGCGGGCATTAGGGATACATAGGTAGCCCATTGGTCCTAGGTTTGGCGCCATATGTAAATTCCCAGGGGCGGGAAGATGGCGTCACAGGTAACTTCCTAGGGGCAGGGCAAGATGGGGCTTCCTGCTTCCGGCTGTGGCTTTCCTGGCTACAGTGTCCTGTCTGGGCCAAACCTTTCACCAGGCATGGTGGCACAAGAGGTTCGCAAATTGGGGGCCAGCCTGGCTAAATAGTGAGATCTTGTTTTTTTTTTTTTTTTTTTTTTTTTTCTCTAAATTTCATTTTATGTCAAGGAGAAAAAAATAACAAAATTTCAGAACATTTCGATCAGGGCAACAATGGTAACATTTATTATGCATTATCATTACGAAATCATTAACCTAGAGCACAACATATCTGCATTCAGTTGTCGGAATAATACTGGCACAAACCTTTTTCTTCAGTGAAATCAGTAGTATAACTATCTTAGCTATTTTTTTTTTATTGGTACTGGGTGTTAGGATTATCTTCAGAGAATAAAAGATGCTTCTAAAAGTTGAGGAGTATAACACAAAAGAGGCCTTTATTTCGGGAACATGGGGAGAGAAGACTGGCGCACTGGCCGCTGGAATCTGGCGATCTCTCTCTGGGACACGTGGCCTGGGGGAATATAAATAGTCTAATCATAGGGCAGTGCCCTATGGCCTTTAGAGATGCACAGGTATTTCATTGGCACACGTTTGGCGCCAGGGACAGGTTCTTAGGGATGGGGGTATAGGGTTATAGGTAATCTATAGGGGCGGGGGTGGGGCAGGAGCCCCCTAACTCCAGCTGAGGCTTTTTTGGCTAGAGTGTCCTGTCAGGGCCAGCAACCCTTTCACTGGGGATCAAACTCAGGACCGCATGCTTGCAAGGTAGGTGCTTATGCCACTGAGCTAACTCCCCAGCCCCTATTTTTTTTTATGTACATACAAATGTACATACACATATACATATATTGTTTCAGCTTCTTTCAGAGACGATAGGATGTTTACATGTGTGGTTTATTTTACTAATGAACATGGTCTAAAGTTGCATCCATTTACCTATAAAAGCCTGGACTACATAGTGAGATCTTGTTTAAAAAAAAAAAAAAAACCCAGATGATAGCAAAGCTGTGCACTTGTACAGGTACAGCTACAGAGTAGCTTTTGGAATTCTTAGATACCGGGAATTAAACCCAGAACCTGTATGTGCTAGGCAAGTACCTTGCCTCCTAAGAAAGTCTCTAGACCATTCTAATTTTTTTCTTCAAATTTTGAGTCAGTGTCTTGTTAAAATTGCACAGGTAGGCCTCTAAGTTGTAACCCTCTTGTGTCAGTCTCCTAGGTAGTTGTAATTTCAGATGTGTGACACTATGCCCAACACATTGTGGTTTTTTTTGTTTTGTTTTGTTTTTATTTTTTGGTACTGAGAAACTCAGGATCTTGCTCTTGCAAGCAGGTGCTGTGTCACTGAGCTATATCCCCAGCCCTATGTTTTTAATGAGATTGTTTAATACCCACTTTTTTTTTTTTTGTGGTTTTCAGGAAAAACAAAAAGCTGGAAACCTGACATGGTGGCGTGTGCCTTTAATCCCAATACCATGCGATCAAAAAAGTTTGAGTCTAGCCTGGGTACTTTAGCAACTTAGTGAGACTCTATTTCAAAGAATAAAAAGTTTGGAGTTATAGCTCAGTGTAAAGGATCTAAGTTCAAGTTACACTACCAAAGAACAAGCTGAAACAACCCCCCCCCCAAGAAACTGTATGAAATTTTTCCAAATTGATTGCTTGATACCCACAGGGTGGATGTACTAGGATATATTCCTGCCACTGTCTCATGATAAACAGTTGGACTATATTGTCCTTTTGGGTATGTGTTTGGGGGGAGCTTTACTTGGGAGTCAGGAGTTCTTTTTTTACCCTGTCTCACTAAGTAAGTAGAGTAAATCATGTTTTTTTGTTGTTGTTTTTGATACAGGTCTTACTATCTAATTTAGGCTTGCCAGGAACTCGATGTGATCTTCCTGCCTCAGCCTCCAGAGTGCTGGGATTGAATGTGTGTGCTAGCTCAAGTGTCACACCCAGTTCAAATTATGATGTTTTAAATAAGCTTTGTCAACTTGTGTGTACAGTACTGTGTTGTTACTCTTGAATATGTAGCTCTGGTATGTTCCAGCCTCATGTGTTAGTTTAATCTTACATGCAGTAAAATTGGGATGGCTTTCTTTCCCATTACCTTTAGTCTTCAGGTTGCCTGTGTTCAGTGTCACCAGCAGGGAGTTTATGAACCCATTAAACCCATAGGCCACAACTTACATTCCAAGTCAGAGTAGAAGGATGAGCCTAAAGTGTTGCAATACTAACTGAAAAGACAGAGAAAGGCTTACCTTGAGGGGCCTCAGGAAGGCCATCAGGCTTGTGTCCCGGCATGGCCATATATGGTATCTCAGCATTTGTGTCCTTCCATGACATCCAGCTCCCACATTGCAGTCAAATGGGCTTCCATTTTTCTCTTTGGAACTGCCAATTTCCTTACCTTTTATAGAAAGAAATTGTATGCTTTTAAAATGTCTTGTTACCTAACCTCAGTGGCTTCAAATAATGAAAAACATTTTATTATATTTAAAATTCTAGAGCTTCCTTATGCTTGTCTAACTTGCACATGCAGCCATTTAAAGTCTCGCATCCTTGGTGGTTGGTACTGGCTGTGGGAAGGACTGTCTGAGGCTGTCATACACTTGTATTTGGCTTTTCCATGTGGCCTGGCTTCCTTGGAGCTTGGCAGCTGATTCTCAGGGTAAGCTTCTTGAGATAGTACAGTACCTTATAGAACCTTATAATCGGGGCTGGGGATTTAACTCAGCGGCATAAGCGCCTGCCTTGCAAGCAGGCAGTCATGAGTTCGATCCCTGGTACCAATAAAAAAAAAAAAGAGAGAACCTTATAATACAGCCTTGAAGTCACAGTGTCATTCCTGCCAGACCTTGTGGGTCAAGGCAGGCACAGAGTTCTGCCCAGGATTAGAGGGAGGGGACACAGACCACATTCCTCAATGAGAACAGTGTTGCCTTTATGCTATAAGAAAGGCAAGTAGCCAGGCATGCTGGTATGGGCTGGGCCATACAGTCTGCTGTAGAGACCCTAAGATCAGCAGTCACAGTGATCCTTGGATAGTGGTGATGATCTCCTTAAGGCTGAGTTCAGGAGTTGTGAGCAAGCCACATCTGCAGGTCGTTCAAGCCATGATGAGTCACCATTCTCTGCCTGTAGCCATCCTGACCCCTGTAGCCCAGCTCTGCAGCTGTTCCTTTTCTTATGGGTTAAGGTTGTCCTGTCCTGTCTTTACCGTATGTGCTTAAACAAGTAAGATGCTGTGGGGAATTCCTATAGGTTCATTGCCCCCATTGTATGGTACGGGCCTTAACAACTCACAACAATCCAGATAATGTTTGTCGTCAGCCCAAGAAATCTAAAGTGAGCCAGTGGCAACTGCTGCTTCCAACCCAGTTAATCCTTGCTATGTCCCCTGAGATAAGTGTCTCCTAATCCCAGGACATGGCAACATCTTGGGTTCAAGGTCTGGGGTTACTCACCTCTTTACACCCTAGCTCCTCTGACCCCATATTCTTGCTGTAGGCTATATAGTGGATGGCCCTAGTTTTGGGGGGATCTAAAGTTTATATAAATTTGGGGACTGTCTTAAGGATGCCAAGACTACCCTTGAATTCAGCAATTTGCTAGGAGGGCTTAATAGAGCTGTAAGATCTCCGTCGCGAAGAAGGCCCCAAGGATCCAGCTCTCATGTAAAATCAAGGGGTTTTTATTGTCTGCGCATGTGAGGGACCCTCTGACCGCACTCCGGTGGGAAAGGGGAGCGGGAGACAGCCCCGGGTAAGGGAGTACAGAGTATATATAGCCGAAAACCTCAAAACAAGCATTGGTTACAGAAGCAGATGGCATTGGTTAATAGGGGTCGTGTCCTTTGCTTACTGGTGGGTGTAGGCTATCTGCTGCAGGTGGCTTGATGTTTTTGAAAACTCATATCCTGTCTGGCAGGGTCAATAGTTCATGGTGGTCTTATTTTTGGGGACGTCGGATCACAACTTCCCTATCAAGTCAGAACATCTGGTTGTTCTGACTGAGTGACAAGGTAAGAGGGGTTTCCTGAATGTTTTAACTCTTCAGAACTAAGCATGTAGGCACTAATGGCTAAGACTTTTTTTTGGTACCAGGAATCAAACTCAGGACCTTGTGTTTGCCAGGTAGGCACTAATGCCATTGAGCAATATATCCAGCATGGCTAATATTTTTTACTAAGAAAATAATAAATGAAAATGAGTCAAAGAAAAAGGTTTGGGGGCTAGGGATTTAGCTCAGGGGTATAAGCACCTGCCTTGCAAACAGGCAGTCATGAGTTCGATCCCCAGTACCAATAAAAAAAAATAATGTAAAGAAAAAAGTTCATGGGATGAAGTCCAAAGAAAGTCAAGTGCAAGCTTCCACAGCCCTTTCCCTGGGCACTCTGACAGGACAAAGGTGGCATGGGTGTGGTGCTATCTAGCTGAAAGAATGTAGATAGACACTTCCTGCCTGGGTTTTTTTTTATGACATATTGTCTGCACGGGCACCCTCTTGTAGGTATTCAGATTCCTGAGTCAGAATAAATGAAAGTATTCATCATAAGCTATATTTATTTGCATGAAAAATTTAGAATTTGCCACTATTTCAGGTAATGGGAATCATGCCAACACCATGTTCCCAGATGGCAGCCAGTTCTGCAGATTTGCCTTTTGAAGGAGAGGAGTCTTTGGCCTGGTGTGGTAGTTCTGTTCTGCAAGGAAGTACAAGGAAAACAAAAGATTATATATCCAGAATTAAAAAAATACAGTAGGAAGATTGATCCTAACATGCAACAAAACTTTCAAAAGATGGCAAATTCCACAAACATAACAAAATTCAGAAAACCAACATTCTATTAGTTAACCCTAACATATAATTAATTCTAACATGTTTACCCTACGTTTTTTGGAGGCATACTCTGATACCTTTTGAAGATGACAGTGTTTTTCTGGTGTTACTATCTATAGAAGATAAATTATCCAACATGTTTTTAAAAATTCTTTTTGTCTTTTCCTTTTTTATTGGTACCAGGGATCGAACTCATGACCACACACTTGCAAGGCAGGCGCTTATGCCACTGAGCTAAATCCCTAGCCCCATTCTAACATGTTTGATCAAAATTTATTTTTATTGCTTGTAGTTTAGATAAGTTGCTTTTAGGGAGCAGCTCCTTCAGATAATATCCTGTAATTTTTTTTCTCTTAGACAGTGTCTCACTATAGCCCAAGTTGCCCTAGAACTAACTTGCTATGAACCCCAGGATGGCTTTGGGCTCATGATCCTCCTTTAGCCTCTTTAGTGCTAGGAATATCCCATAAACTTTTAGGACTTGGTTAAATTTGAAGAACCCTCTATCAGACTTCTTTCATATGAATCATAGGATTTTAAGGCCCTTTAGGTTTTCTTTTTGAAATGTAGGACTTTGTCCACACATCCTCTTTTGTATTGGGCTCCCTTTGACTTTGAATATATCTTGGTGTCTTTACTTTTGCCATGGGTTGCACTTAAGGTGGTACATTGGAATTAACTTGCCGGGATTCAAATAACGTTTCAATGGGATTACAAATACAACTTTTTGGATTATGAGGAGAACTGGAAAAGGGATCATAATACTTGGATTACAATGTTCAATATTTGGATTACAATAGATTTTTTTCAGCTTTGATTTTGAGCCTCCAGAAATGTAGGAAAATAAATTTCTGTCATTATTTTCTTTCTTTGGCAGTACTGGGGATTGAACCCAAGGCCTTTTTACTGAGCTACACTTCCAGCCCTTTTCATTATTATTTTGAGACAGGGTCTTTTTTTTTATTAATTTTTTTTGTCTTTTTCTTTTTTATCGGTACCAGGGATCGAACTCATGACTGCCTGCTTGCAAGGCAGGCGCTTATGCCGCTGAGCTAAATCCCCAGCCCCCATTGAGACAGGGTCTTGCAGAGTCACTAAGTTGCCCATATTGGGTTTAAACTAATAACCCTTTTGCTCAGGGATAGGTGTGTTGATCTAAAGTAATGACTGTTTTAAAAGATGTTTTTAAGGGCTGGGGATTTAGCTCAGCGGCATAAGCACCGCCTTGCAAGTGCGCAGTCATGAGTTTGATCCCCAGTACCAAAAAAAAAAAAATGTATTTAATTTTTATTTTAAAGCAAATAAAACCAAGCAAAACAAAACAGAACAAAGCCAATCAAAACAAACCCGTGTAAGTGACACAGCACTTCAAAACAATAGGAAATCAACAATGGTTACCATAATGACTCCTGCTGTCTTCAAAATAGCTGCAGATACCTTCAGAAATAGTAAAAAATCTAACAAAACACAACAGAATAGAACCAGTAAAAAAACAATGAATGCAATAAAGGACTTAAAAAAAAAAAAGGTAATAGGGCTGGGGATTTAGCTCAGCAGCATAAGGACCTGCCTTGCAAGCAGGCAGTCGTGAGTTCGATCCCTGGTACCGATAAAAAAGGCAAAAAAAAAAAAAAAAAAAAAAAAGTAATAGTAAATCCAAAGTGGCTACCATAATATATCTTGTTATCTTTGAAATAGCTGCTTGTGCCATCGGATACAATAAAATCAAACAAGACAAAACAGAACAGAATCAACAAAGCAATGAATATGATACAGGGCTTCAAAACAAGACAATACAGAATTACCCTCAGAAGGCGATCCCGGCCAGGGGTTTAGATCAGTGGCATAAGTGCCTGCCTGGCAAGCACTTTGATCTCCGGTATCAAAAAAAAAAAAAAAAAAAAAGAAAGATAAAAGGAGTTCTCCCATAGATGCTACATGTTACCATCATCTGAATAGATGATCAAAGTACCAGCTTTAGACCTAAAAAGTCAATAAGACACTGAACTGAAGCATTAAGTTGTATTTCACCTCAATACCTATCACCAGGCAGCCTGTATTTCTCTGAATCAGTGATCTCTTACAGTGGGAGGGGAGGGGAGACAGCATAGTGATACTGGCTGTTCTTGTTTCCCAACCCATGCGCCAGAAGGGGTAGCATCTCCTAAGCCTCAGGCTGTCCCCTCAGTGGCCTGCATGTGGTATCAGTTTGCAGGGAGGGCTTGCTTCTTGGTGACTTCTTGTTCTCTTCCCCAAAAAAGATGTAATATTTTGTCATGAGCCAAATATGAGTGACCGTGACCCAGAAACACAGATTCAAGTTACCCCAAATGAGATGTTCTACCATGGGAGAAATCATAAAATAAAATAAAGTTATAGGCCAGGAACGGTGGCACATGCCTGTAATCCCAGGATTTGTGAAGCTGAGGTAGAAGGATCCCTGCGAGTTTGAGGCCAGCATGGGCTGCACAAGGAGTCTAAAGGCCAGCCGGAACTATATAGTGAGACCCTGTTTCAAAAAAAAAGTCATAAATCATGTGGGATTATTGGCTAGGTGGGCTACAGCAAGGTGGGGAAATCTATAGGCTTTGAGGTAGGCTAGAAAAAAAATACAGTGTTATGCCTTGTATCTAGATGTCCCCCCAAAGCCTCATGTAGACAAAGGTAGAGCTTGTCTGAAATGGTTGGATATAGAGTGTGTGATGCTAGGGTTAAGGCTATGTCCCACTCTAGGTGTGAATGTTACCTAAGGGTGGGTAGCCTGGATAAAATATAAGGTACAGAAAGCTGGCTGCTTGCTGCCTTGATGCCTTTTGCCTGCTATGAACTGTTTCTCCTCTGCAATGCCCCTCTCTCATACCACCCTGTCTTTGAAACAACCAAGGCATGAACTGAAACCTCTATAAACTGTGAGCCAAATAAACCTTTTCTTTTTTAACTTTGGGTTTTGGATATTTTGTCTCAGCAATGAGAAAAAAGTAACGAAGATAGGTAGAAAGGAAATGAGGAAATTTTCATTTTGAAGAAACTAATTTTGAGGAAACTAGAAAACTAAAGCTTCAAGACACAGACTTACCCAAGGTCACACTGTCTTTCAGCCCAAGTATTTTTCCTCCTAGGCTCCTCCTAAATATCTAAGAATCTTAAAGATATAAGAAGTCTTGTAATTATATTTTGTTCTGTGCTTTTCTCTCAATACTTTAAATCCATGAATTCCAAAGACTTCCTCTCACCAAAAAACTGTAAAATTAGTTGGATGCCATAGCTCTAAATTTAAAACACATGCAAATAGCTTGTATTTTAATCTAGCTGATGAAGTCAGTTTTGCTTTCACTCACTAACGGGCAACCTAACTTTAAGGCAATAGACACCAAGTAAACAATAAATAACTGTGTCAGTAGTGTTCGTAGTGCTAGGCCTGACTGTTAAACTCAAGCTCTTCTGCCCCTTCCCTGTGGCTGTTGATTCAGGTGCTGAAGGTCCCACATCAGGATTTGAGCTGTCGGAGGTTGGAGATTTAGCTCAGCGGCATAAGCACCTGCCTTGCAAGCAGGCAGTCTTGAGTTTGATCCCTGGTACCGATAAAAAGAAAAAGAAAAAAAAAAGTGTAAAAAAAAAAAAAAAAGATTTGAGCTGTCTTCTGGTGCCCTTTGGCCTGTGCTTCCCCGCCCTTACCTTCCTGATAAAGCCTGTGAAGCTCCAGGTAGGGTGGCAGGATTGTAGGCCTTATCCCTCAGCTTGTTCTTCCCAGAGTGGAAACTCTGCTCACCAGTTGGGCAGAGCTAGGACCAAGACTTATTGAACTTGCACAGATGCTTCTTACTTTGCTGTGTGCCCTTTGGTCAACACCCTGAGCAAGAAGGTCACCTAGCTGCCTTACAAGGTCACCATGCTGGCCTACCTAGCATTTCTCCCAGCAAAGCTGGTCCAAGGGTGGGACACTAGCTCCATCTGCTGAACCAGAGAAGCAAGTGCAGGAAGGGTGATAGTGATATTAGTGGCATCTGTGCCCTAGCAGGGGCCACCGCCCCGTCTCTTCTAGCAATCAGGGAGGGGCAGCTTCTGCCAGTAGGCAGGCTCAAGTAAGTCTGTGGTGTGAGACTCCAGTTTCCATCCCAGGTCTGAAAGGTGTCCTACAAAAACTGCACAGGCTGCAACATTGCAACTCTGCAGCCAGGCCCTGAGCCTCTTCAACCTACTTTGCAGGTTACCACATACGGTGGTACAGACTGGAAGCCTGGGTGCAGCGCGGCTGCACTGAGAGGATTCAATTTGAATGACTGTCTTTTCAGCCTGAAGATTTTGACCTTGGACGTGTTCCTCTCCCACTCTCCCACCACGTGTGTGTGGTACTGGGGTTGAATACAGCACCTTCACACTGAACTACATCTCCAACCCAGGTTTTATTTTTCTACATAGAGTCTTGCTAAGTTGCCCAAACTGGGCTTGAACTTGAGATCTTCCTACTTCAGTCTCTCACAATGCCGTTTACAGTGACGTGCACTACACTGGGCAAGAACTCTCTTTTATAAAAATCTCATGTGAGGTAAGTATACTAACAAGTTTTCTATCTTTGTTTACCTTTTTCTTGTACTGTCTATTTCACCTTCACTTTTAAAACAGTTTTTGTGGGAGTGGGGGCTATCGCTGTGGCTCAGTGGTAGCCCTAGCGCCATGCTGGAGGGGGGTGATAAAAAGAGCAAGGTTTGGCCTCTAACTTGCTTATGTAGCCCAGGCAGACTGCAAACTCTTGGCCATCCTCTTGAGTCAGCCTCCAAGGCATGTGCCACCATACCTGGCAAAATAATTTTTTAAAAAATTTAAAATAGAGGGATAAAAAGGAGATAGTTTTCTTGAACATGGAAGAATTGACATCATTTTCTTCTGATGAGTGTGTAATACTGGTATCTTCTGCTTTCTACCCTGTCACTGGAGGAGCCAAGTGCTGAACTCTCGGGGCTCTCTTACATGTGATTAGTCTTTTTCTCTGTTCCCTCTCAAGAATTTCTTGTTGAAAACAGGGATTTCAGTGTTGGGTTTTGGTGTGTCATCTTTTAGAGATGGTCCTGTCTTCACTTTGTGACATCTCCAGCAAAGGAGCCAGTCCTTTGCAGGGAGTTTATCTTATCTTGACACTCATCAGCAGGAAGAGACTTGTCCTCTGGGGGGCTTACTGGATGAGGTCAGGGACATCAAGATGGTCTCCTATTATTCTTTGGCTCTGGCAATAACCTAACCTAACCTGTGGGAATGAAGTCTATTATTTTCACAGACAGGTGGGCAGAGTACATGTGTATGCTTGGGAAGCCTTGAGGGCCTTCTTCGAATCACCTACCTCTGGCTATCAGGTCTGAGGTGGTTACTGACTCACTGAGCCTGTCATTCTGTTTTTTGGTACTAGGGATTGAACTCATGACTGTGTGCTTGCAAGGCAGGCGCTTATGCCATTGAGCTAAATCCCTGGCTCAAGCCTTCATTCTTCATTTTTCTCGGTATCGGGGATCGAACTCACGACTGCCTGCTTGCAAGGGAGGCACTTATGCCGCTGAGCTAAACCTCCAGCCCCAAGCCTTCATTCTTTTAGGGCAAAATACCCTGCATTCCTTGGGATTGGGGTTATCTAATTATGGAAATTATTTAAATTGTCATTACAGGGTGAGAATATATAGCTCAGTGGCACAAATGCCTGCCTGGAAAGCACAAGGTCCTGAGTTTCATTTTTAGTACCAAAAGAAAAAAATTGTCATTATTATATTTCCATAAGGCTAACAGTAACCAAGCAGCAACATGACTCTTTATCAATGTCTTCCCACTTCTGGTCATCACAGAGAGAACTACTTGTCTTGGTTTCCTGTACCCTGGAAGGCACGTGGCAATCCCAAGAAAACCCATAAATTAACAAGTGGAAATTCTGCTTACCAAGCAAGTACAAAAGTAAATGATAATGTGAAATAAGTGGTAATTACTATTGGAATATAAGAACACAAAAATTAAACTGTGTACACAGAACCATCCCACTAATAGATAGACTGGAGCCAGCCATGGTATATAACACCTATAATCCCAGCACTTAGAGGTTGAGACAGGAGGATTACAGAGGTTTGAGACCAGTCTGGGCTACAAAGCAAGACCTTATTTCAGCCCCTATCAGCACCACCGAAAAACAAATCGGATGGAACAAGATCCCCTGTAACCACCATAGTTGGTAGCTGAGGCAGGAGGATTGCAAGCTGGAGCCCAACCAACTTAGTGGCTGATAAAGACCCTGTATCATAAGTTAAATAGGAATAAAAAAATACCTGAAATGCAAAGCATTGTCACCCTTGGGGCAGGTCCTCCTGCCCAGGTAACTTCTTGTCCTCATGTCCAGGTATTCAGCCTTGTTGGAGGATTCCCTGATGCCTTCCTCTCAACTTTTCTTAGTGGCCCGAGTGTAGTGCATTCTCCAGGATGTCTGCCTATGTGCTAGCTCTTCTATGTGCCATTGTCCTGACCCACACCACACAGCAAGCATCCCGTGGCATCATCAGCACTGCTAGGCCCTTCCACATCCTTCTAGATGGTGCCTCTTGGTTCAACCAGTCTTGGACGCTGACCTGCCCTGGTAGGTCACTGGACCAAAAACATACCACGCATAGTTTTAGGTTCATCCTCTCTGACCCTTTTTGGTACCACACAACCAAAGTTGACCATACCCAGTTACCTAGATCTGTGCTGGCATGGAGGTTAATAGGCCATGGCTGGTGGCCAGTGGGGAGCTGGGTGAATGGTTGAGGGAAATACCTGAATCCACATCCAGGCCTGACTGGGACAAAGAAGCTTCCATTTTCCAGGAAAGACTTTCCAGAGAGAGCCAGAAACCTGGGACAAGGCTGAGCATTACTAGTGATGAGGCGCTGAGGACCAGAAGTCAGAGGTCAGCCTAGTTATGCTAGTTAGGGTGGTTGGTCCTGAAACTGCGGAATGTCAGGAGAGCCAGCTGCTGACCTCACAATAGCGACATCTGCCGTCCCTGGCTAGCCACCAGCTGCCAGCCTGCTGCATGCCTTCCTGCTGGGCATGTCCCTCCTCAGCAGCTATGAGGGCCTGCGTCAAGAGATCCAGCGGCTGGCACAGGAGAATGAAGAGCTGCGACGGCTGGTGCAGCTTATCCAAGAGAACCAGGAGTTGAAGCTAGTCCTCAGGAGCAGGGCCAGCAGCCTAGGCCTCTGTAACTCAGGTTTCTTGGCAGATGTGGCTCCCAGTCCCCGGGTGCTCAGGCGTAGAACAATCAAATTCAAGGATGCTGAGAGAGGTGAGCAGTGGCACGGCCTAGATGCTAGGCAAAAGATATCAGGGAATGAAACTCTCAACCTGCTATGACTAGTAAGAGTTTGTGTTCTCTAAAATCAAGGAATGAATTTTAGGAACAACAGAAGTTAAGAGCAGAATATATTTATTGAGAGAAAGAACGCTTCTGTCTGAGAGAGAGACAAAAGGGGTCCCAGGCAGGTTGCCAGGGACTCTGTCTTTTTAGGGACCTTTATAGGGTAAAATCATGAAGTTAAATGGGTCAAAGGTGGAGGGAAATGGGAATTTACAAGGTGGGCATAAGGCAGGACCGAACTGTAGTCAACCAATAAGATTAATTGCTCAGGTAAAATTGATTAAATAGGAGCAAATGGGGAGTGAGTCCCATAGTAAGCAGGCATGCTTCACAGCAGTGACTCTTCCTGTAGGGGTGGGATACTGACTCCGGACTTCCTTAGGGTAACAGAGAAGTATTTGGACTGTGGATCCTTAGGATGTGGTTCTGTTTGCTTTGCCTTTTGTCTTGAGATCTGGCGCACAGCAGGAGGTGATGGTCTCTTCCAAGGCTGTGAGGTATTTAAAGTTCTACTCTGGCCCCTTTGAGGGTCCAGCCCTGTCTGACTGCCTATAATATTTTTAACTAACTCAGCTGCCTATAATAAAAGCACTTGCAAAAGCACACCCAAGGGCCAGGGATCTAGCTCAGCGGCATAAAGCATCTGCCTGGCAAGCACGAGGTTGTGAGTTTGATCCCCCATACCAAAAAAAAAAAAAAAAAAGTAAAGCACACTCAAGAGTGTGACTTGTGCATTGTTGATAGGTAGAAGGATACGAAGCAAGGCCAAGGAAAAGGGTGGAGAGGGCTCTTTCAGGAAGTACACTAAGAAGGGAGGAGGTAATTAATATCTCTTAGAAAATGACATCTGAGCAGAGCTGGAGCAAACGGAGACACCAGGTGTGGGGGGACAGCTTTCCAGCCCTGTAGTCTATGCAAAGGTCGTGAAGTGGCATCAAGTTTGCTCTAAGACCAGCATTCTGTTGCAGAGGGCAGAGGGCAGAAGGGAACAGGAGGACCCTGTAGGCTACATGGACCTGAGGGCAGACTCTGTCCCCTCATCTTGTGCTCTCTGGGATCCCTGAATTGGAGGGTAGAAACAGCCCCCCTCTTGGAGAGAAAGAACAGAAATTTGGCCAGGATAGGGCTATGAACCAGGTCAGGCTCTGAATATATAACTTGAAAATAAAAGTTATCAGGACTTTAGCAGTCTGACATGTGCCAGATGAGAAAGGGGTGTGAGGGCTGGAAGGGGGAGCCACTCCTGGGATGGACATACAGAGAGGCAGCCCTAGGATCTTAAGAGATGGATGCTGTGCTTTGGGAAGGGTAGGGCCAGGCAGAGCAAAGGGAGACTCAAATGGGCAGGTAAGTGGGTCCTATAAGGCCTGGTACTGTCTTTCATCCCTGCTGTGGCACCGTGACATTACCAAGGGGGAGAATGAGACCATGAGGGAACCACCCAGGCACTCCAGGAAGTGGCAAAATGCTCCTAGGAGACAGGAGTGGGGAGCATGTATGAGGGGGGTGCTGCCGGAGGGGACCAAGTGATAGAATTTTTAGCACAGAAGGGAACTTTCTGGTAGAATTTTCAGCATGGCTAAAAGATAATATGAAATAAAAGCAGCCTTTATTTTAAGAATGTGGAGAGAGATTCCATGACCCTCCGGGATCTGGCATTCTCTCCCCCAGACACAGTGTGGGGGCATACATCTAGCTTAGGTTTGGGGTGGTGCCTAAGGGGCATTAGTGATGCACAGGTAGCCCATTGGTATTCATTTTGCACCACAGGTAAATTGCTTAGGGGCAGGAAAGGTGACCTCAAGCTAGAGCCCCTTGGTTCCACCTCCCAGCTTCCCACCAGCTACATTGTCCCATCTGGGGCAAAATCCTTTCATTCCTGTCTTTTGATTATTAGGAAAAAGGGTGAAGATTTTCTTTTTTTTTATTGTTTCCTGCTGAAAGGGGGTGCTGTAGTGGGGTTTAGGATTGTTGATGGGATGACAGTTGATGCCATGTAGAATCTGGTGCCAGGTGTTTTAACCAGGACAACTGTATCACTGGTGAATGCTCATATGTTAGACTGGAAAAACAAAAAAACAAGGTGTTATGAGGAGGCAGGCCACTATCATATTTAAGGACCCAGGTGAGGTAGAAGGAAAGGTGTCTTTGATTTAGATATGTCATTTTATTAGGACCATGTTGAGATAGACTCATTGCCATGGTAAGTGTGGGGTTATGAGAGGTGATTATTCCTCCATCTGAACGGGTAAAAGTTAAGAGGGTAGGTGGGTAAGACTTGTATCTGGTATGCATGCTGTGGGAGTCTTTAGGAAATCCTGTTGAGAGTCCTGCTGTAAAAAGGATAAGGAATTAGGAACCAAATTGGATAACAAAACATGACAGCCTGAGAGCTGTGGCTGTGAGGCCTTGGTGAGGTGGAGACGAGTGGGCAAAAGGATGGTTAGATTTAGGGCTGGAAGGGCACCACTTAGCCTGAGTGATGTGAAACCAGGATGGCAGTCTAGAGACTTTGACTGCTGTTGAGGTTGCCAAGAAGACCAGGTATAGGCTGCTCTAACTTGGTTGTAGTCCTTGGGATGATTTGCTGTAATAGGACTTTAGTAAATATATTAGCAGTCTCCCTGGTTGTGGTAAAGGCTTTTATGTACCCTGAAAAAGTATAAACAAAGGTGAGAAGATAAATTTATCTGTCAGTCTGGACCAGGGTTGTGTCTGAGAAACTGGTGAATAAGAAAGGAAGGGGTGCTATATACCCCTGAGGAGAGGTTTATTAGCGATAACAGGTGTAAGCTGTTGAAGCCTCAGTGTCTGGGTCACTCTGCATAAACACATAGGAATAAAAAGGCATTTTAAAGATTTAGGACTGTAAAGTGAGTGGTTGAGGGAGGGTTTGGCACCACTGGGTGGACTGGGAAGAAGCAGTCTGGAACCTGCATGAAATAGGCCCTGTCTATACAGGCTGCATAGGTTGGCCATCAATACCCCTATAGAGACTGAGGACTTAATATAGCAGCCTGAAAGCTCAGGAAGAACCCTATACATGGCCCCATGTCCACAAGTATAGAGAATGTCTTACCTGAGACTTTTAGTGGGACTTGGGACTCTGAGAAGGATACCTTAATGGGGGCTGTAAACCCCGAGCCCCATCAGTCTTCAGCAGCAAGTCCAAGCAGATTTGTCAGCGATGAATCTGGCAGTGTTGGCATTTTCTGTGAGGGATAGAAGTTAGGATGGCTTACTCACTCTCTGGTGGCTAGGACAGTCCAGTATCCCTGGGGTAAGGTCTCAAAGGAATGCCAGGATGGGGCACTTTCTTGCCCAATGTTCCTTCTGCTGCATTCGAGGCATGGTCCATGGGGGGGAGGCCCAGGCAGCTCCACCTTGTGTCGGTTTACCTGTCTCAGAGCTCCAAGTGTCACTGCTGAAAGATCAGATTGTTATCTTGTTTTTATCTCTGTGGTTGAAAACATGAAAAGCCATATTGAGAAGGTCTCTTGTGGGGTTTGAGGGCCTTTTGTCTTGGGATCTAGTCTACAGTAGAAGGTATCTGTAGAATTAATTAAGTATGCAGGAGTCAAATAATACAATCAACAAGGTATTTATGATTATAACTTTATATAAGTATCTCTTTATGCTGTTAAAATGTCTAATGCCATCTGATTTTTGGAGAATGGCCTGTTTTATTAACTTTACCTTTTTATTTAGGAGAGAGATCAGCTATGGTGTCATTTAATGCCAGTTGAGTACAGTTAATTATGGCTTGGCGGAGGGTGGAGCCAGGGCAGGCAGACAGGCTGGGAAAAGATCAAGCATGGCCTCTGCCCCAGTGTTGGTCTTGTTGTTTTGTATGCATCATGTAACTTTTTTTCTGGAAAAGATCTAGTGGTTTTGGGGGCTGGGGATTTAGCTCAGCAGCATAAGTGCCTGCCTTGCAAGCAGGCAGTCGTGAGTTTGATCCCCGGTACCGATAAAAATCAAAAAGACAAAAAAAAAAAAAATCTAGTGGTTTCCAGCAAAAGGAATTTATAATTACCTCTTAATTTCAGTTGTTAAACATCTAGAAGATTGATAACAATATGGTACAATATAGGCAGTAAGTGTTAACATAGAACATTAAGTGGCTATCAACCATGAGTGTTTTAACATTTAAACACTGAAGAAATTTGTGAAACATCTCTAAGCATATGTCTAGATCTGAAAGAAAACATTTGTCATCATACATTACATAAATTTTTGTTCAAAATTAGTATTTGGTTTACTCATGTTGGTCTGATTTGTATTGTTTGGCTGGAACACAAGAAAAAGACAGCAGAAACAACCCCAATTTTATATTTGAAAGCATGAATATACCATCAGATCAGCAACAATGAATTGTCTGTTGTGACCTGTTGTCTCTTTTACTGTGCTGGTGCTCAGAGGTGCACTGGCTCTTGGAGGTGGGGGCTGGGACTACTCCGGAGACGCACTGAGCACTCAGAGCAGAGGAGGAACATGGAGGGTGGGCGGAGCATCCAGGGTGGGGGCTGGCACATGCAGGGTAGGCAGGGTGTATAGGGCGGGCAGGGCATGGAGATGAGGGTCCTGAGGGCCCAGAGCAGCGTGCATATATCTCCCCCAACACTGTCCTGGTGCACCTCCCCCATCCCGGTAGGAAAGGTGGGTCAGCACGCAGTGGGACTGAGAAATGGGTGAAGAGAGAGGAAAGGAGGATGATGTGAAAGCTTTGAAAACCTGTAAAGACACTGTTATCTCCTAGGTGTGGGGAGGGGGAAGGATCCTGGAGGAGCAGAGGGAGAGAAAGACACATTCTCAAAATAAAGGCCCAAACATGGAGAGTTTTTGTAAACTTGTCGCCAGTGTGATAACCTATAAATAGAGATTTTTTTGGGGGGGACAGAAAGTGGTCCCCAAGATAAGAAAATCTGGTGTGGGGCCCGGCCCATGGAGTCACAGTCAGGTGAGGCAATGGACTGTGACCTAACCAGGTCAAGTCGTCACCTTTTAACCTCTTAGACCAGACGGTAATTGGTAATTGGTTCCAAAGCTTGTGTTTCTCGGTCATCACCAGAGGCACAAGTGGAGTTCCTGTGGATTACAGTAACGGTGAGAGCGTAAAGGCTCTAAGGGATGTGAGAGCTTAAAGACTCTAAGGGACGTGAGAGCTTACAGTAAAAGCTCTGCCTTGGGGCTGTCTAGGGATGTGAGAGCGCCACTCGAGTCCAGGAAATAAGAAAACACGCATGGGGCCTGGCCCAGCTCTGAGTAATCTCCGGAGGTTGCTCACCTGTGGTAAATGAATTAGACCGGTGTTGTTTGCAAACCAGCAGTGACAAGTTTAGCAGCTCCCAAGTGTTGAAAAGTGAGGAAATAATCCAGTATGCAGTCTGGTCCTGAACGGCAAGGGGACTCACCAGCAGTCTCTCGTCTGCCGTTCTGGTCAGGGAACCATCTGATAGAATTTTTAGTGTGGCTAAAAAGATAAGAAATATGAAATAAAAGCGGCCTTTATTTTAAGAATGTAGGGAGAGACTCCATGACCCTCTGGGGTCTGGCATTCTCTCCGCCAGACACGTGTAGGGGCATATATGTAGCTTAGGTTTGGGGTGGTGCCTAAGGGATATTAGCGATGCACAGGTAGCCCATTGGTATTCATTTTGCGCCACAGGTAAATTGCCTGGGGGCGGGGAAGGTGACTTCAAGATAAAGCCCCTTGGTTCCGCCTCCTAGCTTCCCACTGGCTACAGTGTCCCATCTGGGGCAAAATCCTTTCACAAGAACTGAGGTTTTGGGCCTTTATCAGTCTGTCTTAGAGCATCTCTGATGGAGAGGGGTCAGGAGAAACCTGGGAGGCAAGAGGAACAGGGAGTGGGAGACCTTGAGGGGCAGCTCCACAGGGAGCAGAGCAGCTGTGTGCTGCTGGAGGGGATTGTGGGGGCAGAGCCCTTAGTGGATGTGTTTGTAACACCTGTGGACTGTGAGAGTACTTGGGGTAAGGGCATAAGCAGGCAGTTTGGGTGAGTGGAGGGCAGCAGATGGCAATGGCTGTGGATGGGGTTGAGTAATTCTCTTCTGAATGGTCATGGCCTAAGGGAAGGCTGTGTTGAGGTTGGGAGGAATAAGAAAGACAGCTCACAGGGGAATGGGGAGTGGTTGGAAAGTTATGAGGCCTGTGTTGGGGTCCTGGACTAAAGTGGGGTGCTGACCACAGCTGCTTCTCACGGCTGCTCAGGGCTGCAGCATGAACCTTTGCATCCTGGCTGCACTGTTAGTTCTGGCTCTAGCCAGACACAAGGGCAGCTGAACAGTACAGGGGATGGTGGGGGGGGGCACTGCACTTTAGAAGGTGATCATCTGAAAGTGGCCAGCTCCCCTTTAATAGAGAAGTGGGGTCTGTGTGTCTGCTGCTAGACTCAGTACCTGACTAGGGGTGTGTGTGTTAGTCTACCTTGCTTGGCCCAAGAAAGACTGGAGAGTAGGGAAACCTAGCAAAAAGACCTGGGGAGGGGACAGGTCATGGGAGTAGCCAAAGGTAGCCACCAGGCAAGATTGGAAAGTCAGATGCCATACCTTGATGAGTCAAATCTCTTGCATCTTTCTTATGGCAACTTGGACTGGGCACTGGGTCCAGTTCCTTCTAAACTCTGCATCCCTTTGCCTATCCTTTAATCTCTTGTCACATGGAGGACATCTGTGCTTCCAGAAGGATCCTGGAAAGCTCTGTTGCAGCTTGAGGTGCTACCTAGAGCTTACTTCTCTAACCCTAATACCCAGCCAGCCCACTCCATCCAAGCTTCCTCGGCCCAAGCAGGCCTTGAGGGTCACCAGAGACCATCGGAGAGGTGGGCTGTGGTTTGTCTCACCCTGCTTGCATCAGGCTGGCATGCTAGGTGAGGCTGGTGGGCTCAGCTGACCATTCAGGTCTAAACAGCTGCTCTTCTGGGGCTGCCTCATAGCAGCTAAGTGTCCTACCTGCCTTTTGTTTAGAGCCCAGGCTCCTCTCCACCAGTATCCAAATGGCTCACATCCCAGGGCTTCTACTGGGGCTGATAGCAGGTGCCGCATCGGTTCTCTCTCCAGATCCCTCTGCTTGTAAAAGACTTCCTTCCTTGATGGTGGCACAATAAGCCTAGGGACCTGGCCTAGCACTAGTACAAGAGGGTCAGCCAGCCCATTCCAGGAGAACCTGTTTTACTGGAGCATAATTCCCATAGAGTAACAGTAAAGGTCAGAAACTATCCCTGACCTTTCCTGGTCTCACTTGCAGTTTATGCCTGGGAACCACCTCCATCCACCTTTTTGTCCCTGGCCCTGTCCTTACAGTGCTAACCTCTGGCCTGGGTGTATGTCTGCCTGCGGGACCAGCAACAGATGTCTTACCACAGGGAGACTGAAACACCTCAGCTCTTTGTGTTGCCTGCTTCCTTTCTCTGCTATTGGCACTCCCTCCAGTTCTCTTGCTTAAGAGCAGTCCGAGCATGTATTGGCTGTTCTTTCTTGGGGGGTAGCCAGTTTTCCTGGGCACCAGGAGGTTGGTGTAAAGCACATACTCTGGGCAGCACAGTCAGCAGAGCCAAGGTGCCCTTGAGCCCCGTTTGGCCCAGCAGCCCCAGGGTTGCTCCAGGACTGTGAGCCAGATGTTCCTGGTCAGGCTCCGACTTGCGCAACCAATCCCGTGAGCCGGGTGGAGTGGGGCGGGGCGGTCCTGTGGGGCGGACTCAGCAGGCCCCTCCCCGGGGTGGGGGTAGAGCCAGCGAGAGCACGAGCTTCAGAAGCAGACCCAAGCGACCAGGAGCAGTCCCTCAAGGTTGTCCCTGTGCAGGGGTCCTGCCCTTGGTGCCAACATCTTAGCCCCTCCTCTTCAGGCCAAGGTCCGGGACTGCGGGCCTTGTTCCCGGGCCACCCTTTTGTCCGGTAAGGTCCAGGCAGGAAAAGCTGAGGGAAGTGAGGAACAGGCACTCCTCTCATTGTCTTTGCCAGTCCAGATGCTCTTCATGACAGGAGAGCGTGGCCCCCCATTCAAGAGCTCCAGGTTCCAGTGGCACCTCCTCTGCTCCTTGCAGAGGTGTTGGCTGGCAGACTGGTCAGAACCCTGAGACCTGGGAAGGTGGGGGTGACAGGGTGCTGGGCTGGCCACCTTGGTAGCTGGTTCTTATAATTCTAGCTGTGCCTAGGCCCACGTGCTTGGTGATTAGCCCCACCCAGATGTGAACCTAGGCCTCCCACTGACAGTCTCCTCTGTCCAGTTCTCCCAGGGCTACCAATTGAAGGGCAACTGCTAAGTGCCAGCCACACTATCATGGGTAACCCAGAGGGCCGCTTCCATTTTGCCATTGACCGTGGTGGCACCTTCACTGATGTCTTTGCCCAGTGCCCCGGAGGGCGTGTGCGAGTGTTGAAGCTGCTCTCAGAGGACCCTGCCAACTATGCAGATGCTCCAACAGAAGGCATCCGCCGCATCCTGGAGCAGGTAGGTCTGGGCAGAGGAGAGGGCTCTGGTAGTGAGCCTGGTTTGGGGCCTGATACTGACCATGTGGTCCCCAGGAAGGTGGCATTGTGTTGCCCCGGGACCAGCCACTGGACACCAGTCGCATTGCCAGCATCCGCATGGGCACTACTGTAGCCACCAATGCCCTACTGGAGCGACAGGGGGAACGGGTGGCTCTGCTGGTGACTCATGGTTTCCGAGACCTGCTACACATCGGCACCCAGGCTCGCTCAGACCTCTTTGACCTGGTGAGCACTTCCATGGCAGCAGGGTGCTGGGGACGTGGCTTGTACACCCAGGGTTGCTGTAACTTAGGGAGGGCAGTTGTTGGGAGGCTTATTGATGGGCCAAGTCCACACTAGTGGACAGGAGTTTCTGTGCACTGCCAGCTGGACTTTTGTCCTCTACCCTCAGAGTAGACTCCTCGTGCCCTGTTCTGCCAGTACCATGCCTTGTTCTGGACCTGTCAGTCCCATTCAGGGTTAGGGGTGGAACCTACTCCCATGTTGGGTCCAGAAGAAGCTGCTGGAAAGTTGGTGACATTCCCCTCAGATGCTGCCCCTGGGTAATCATTGCTGGGCCTGTCAGATTGTCTCCTGGGCCTGTCTGCTGGCTTGCTGGGACATATTCCCTTGCCTGCACTGCCCCACCTACACAGGACCCTCAAAAGACCCTCAGGCTTGGGTCTCCCTAAGCCTCTGCCTGCCCCCAGGCTGTGCCCATGCCAGAAGTCCTGTATGAAGAGGTACTGGAGGTGGAAGAGCGTGTCGTGCTATACCGTGGCGAGCCAAGTACTGGGTCACCTGTCAAAGGTGTGGGTGCTGCCTTTGGCAGTGGGGTCTGGGGTGGGCAGATCTTGGCAGGCTTTAACTGAGGGTCATGGGCTCCTACAGGTCGCACAGGGGACTTGCTAGAAGTGCAGCAGCCTGTGGACTTGGAGTCCCTGCGTGGGAAGCTGGAAGGGCTCCTGTCCCGGGGCATCCGGAGCCTGGCCGTGGTGTTCATGCACTCCTACACGTGAGTGGGGGTCCTGCTGTGGGTTAGAGAGGCATGGGCCTGGAGAGGTGATAGTGGTGGGGCACAGGGCCATGAGGGGAGGCCTAGTGCCTTGGGTTTTTGTTATAGGTGGGCCCAGCATGAGCAGCAGGTGGGCATGCTGGCTCGGGAGCTGGGCTTCACGCATGTGTCCCTTTCCTCGGAAACCATGCCAATGGTGCGCATCGTTCCTCGGGGGCACACAGCCTGTGCAGATGCCTATCTTACACCCACCATCCAGCGCTACATTCAGAGCTTCCGCTGTGGCTTCCAGGGCCAGCTGAAGGTGAGGGTGTTGAATACCTCTTTCCAACCCTGCCCCTGCAACTGCCAAATACCTCACTGCCCACCTGCCCCTCACAGGACGTACAGGTACTCTTCATGCGCTCTGATGGAGGTTTGGCACCCATGGATGCTTTCAGCGGCTCCCGAGCTGTGCTCTCTGGACCTGCTGGAGGTGTGGTTGGTTATTCAGCCACCACCTACCAGCTAGAGGGTGGTCAGCCTGTCATCGGCTTTGACATGGGAGGTATAAAGACTGTGTAGTGGTCTTGGGGAGGCCGGTTGGGCAAGTGGGCTTTTGGGTAACTCCCAGAACCCCATCCTGTTCTAGGCACATCCACGGATGTGAGCCGCTATGCTGGGGAATTTGAGCATGTCTTTGAGGCCAGCACAGCTGGTGTCACTCTCCAGGCTCCCCAGCTGGACATCAACACAGTGGCAGCTGGGGGAGGTTCGCGCCTCTTCTTCAGGTCAGCTCTTACCCCCTCACCTGGCCAAGACCCCCAGCTCTTCCTCCTGCCCCACTTCAATTGCAGTCCTCCATCTCCCAAGGTCTGGCCTCTTTGTGGTTGGACCTGAGTCAGCAGGTGCCCATCCAGGTCCTGCCTGCTACCGAAAAGGTAAGAGCTCATATCTGCTCCTGTGTATCTTGCCCTCTGTACACTGCCCAGGCCCTCCCACCCCTTTAGCCCCATCTCTGCTGCCCACTCCTGACCCTCTGCCTCCAGCCCCCATCTCCACATTATGCCTGCCTCCTAGGGGGCCCTGTGACAGTGACAGATGCTAATCTGGTCCTGGGTCGCCTGCTGCCTGCCTCCTTCCCTTGTATTTTTGGGCCGGGAGAGGACCAGCCACTGTCTCCTGAAGCTTCCCGAAAGGCCCTGGAGAATGTGGCTACTGAGGTCAACATATTCCTGACCAATGGGCCCTGTCCGGCCTCCCCGCTGAGCCTAGAGGAGGTGGCCATGGGGTTTGTGCGTGTGGCCAACGAGGCCATGTGCCGGCCCATCCGCGCTCTCACACAGGTATATCAACCTTTAGTCATCCTTGCTTGCCTGTTCTAGTCTAGCTCTGCCCCTTCCCCCGTACCTCCCACTCAGTTTTACCATAAAGGGTGAGAGATGGGGAACTGGATGGGATGGAATAGCAGAGGTCAGTAACCCTTTCTGGATCCCCAGGCACGAGGCCATGACCCCTCAGCCCATGTTCTGGCTTGCTTTGGGGGAGCTGGTGGGCAGCATGCTTGCGCCATTGCCCGGGCCCTGGGCATGGACACTGTGCACATTCACAGGTGGGTCTGGGCATGGCTGTACCAGTGGCACGTATCCTGAACTGCGGGAGCTAGCTTTGGGGGATGCTTTCTTACTGTTGTGTCACCTTGTCCTCCTCATGTCCTCAGACACAGTGGGCTGCTGTCAGCATTGGGGCTGGCCCTGGCAGATGTGGTGCACGAGGCACAGGAGCCCTGCTCCCTACCTTATATACCTGAGACTTTTGTGCAGCTGGACCAGAGGCTGAGTCGCCTGGAAGAGCAGTGTGTGGATGCCCTGCAGGCCCAGGGCTTCCCCAGGTAGGCTCCTGGGGCTGCTGGGCAAAGGGCCTCATTATCCTTACCACAATCTTGGTGAGTTTACTGCCCAAGTACTTTCCATGTGGTCCAGGGCCCTTCAGGCAATGATCAGGGAGGTTCTCTACACTTTGAGCACCTGAGAAAGCAGGACAGGTATCCTAAGGGCCACTGAATGAGTGCCTCTACTTGCCTACTGTAGGTCCCAGATTAGCACTGAGAGCTTTTTGCACCTGCGCTACCAGGGCACAGACTGTGCCCTGATGGTATCTGCTCATCAGCATCCAGCCACAGCCCACTCGCCTCGGGCTGGTGACTTTGGGGCAGCCTTTGTGGAAAGGTACATAAGCCTCTTATCTTGGGAGCCTGGTGGGTGCCCCACAGCTCTAGCTCCTTTGCCCTGATGGCTCCCTGGGGTGGGGGAGTTACAGGTACATGAGAGAATTTGGCTTTGTTATCCCTGAGCGACCTGTGGTGGTTGACAATGTGCGAGTGAGGGGCACTGGCCGCAGTGGTCTTCAGCTGGCAGATTCTCCCAAAGCTCAGACTGGCCCTCCAAGAGTGGACAAGGTTGGTGGCCTGGTCTGTACTGGTTACCCCATATGTGGGATATGGGGTCAAATCTAGAAGGGGAGACCAAGCCCTCTTGAGGGGCCACAAAGAAGGTGCTGGATTTAGGAGCATGGCTTATCTCATACCTTCTGTAGGTGACCCAGTGCTACTTTGAGGGAGGTTACCAGGAGACACCTGTATACCTGCTAGGAGAGTTGAGCTGTGGGCATCAGCTTCAGGGGCCCTGCCTCATCATTGACAACAACAGGTGGGCTGAGATTTGGCCTGGTTGGAGCCTTGGAGAGGTGAATTGTGGGGTCTCTTGTGTGGGGGAGGGTTCTTTGGCTCAAGGCTGTGGGAGCCTGAGGTACTTAAGGATCCTAATGTGGAGTGTCCCCTGGCTCATGAGTGTGGGATCCCTGGTTGTGAGGGTGTCTGTCCTGGCTCCTTGCAACCCTTGTGTGTACTCTCTACCCCTAGTACTATCCTTGTGGAGCCAGGTTGCCAGGCAGAGATGATTAAGACAGGGGATATCCGCATCTCTGTGGGGGCTGAGGCCCCCAGTACAGTGGGCACCAAGCTTGACCCCATCCAGCTGTCCATTTTCTCACACCGCTTCATGAGCATTGCTGGTGAGTGGCCTTGTCTCTCCTCCCCACAGACTAGCTGTATAGGAGCCCTGCATACTAGACAGATGAGGGAGCTGATAGCACTGGCTCCTCTCACAAGGAGTGGAATGAAAGGTGTATATCAAGGAAAAGCATGACCAAGGGGAAGAGAAGGATCCCTGATGGTTACCAGGCTGATGGCCCTGGCCTTGGAGTGGCATCACCTGCTACAACAGCAAGCCTCAGGCAGAACAGGAGCCCTCATGTCCCAGAAAAGGAAGCAGCTAGTGCAGTGAGTCCATCTGTTTGAGGTCAGACCAGGTGCTTCAGAGGGTCAGTGTCTGTGCCTAAAAACTAGGTTCTTGCTATGCCAGGCAGAGAAGGGGCAGAGGGAGGTTAGGAGCTGAAGGCAGGCTGGAGAGAAAGCTGGTATCCTCCACAAAAGGTCAAGACTCATTGACTGCAGCTTCACTGCCAAAGTAGGCCTGATGCCACTTTGGTCTTCCCCCAGAACATGGGAAAAATTGCTGGCCACTGAGTACCTGGTTACTCTATGCCCCCAGAACAGATGGGCCGCATCCTGCAGCGTACAGCCATTTCTACCAACATCAAAGAACGCCTTGACTTCTCCTGTGCCCTTTTTGGGCCTGATGGGGGGTTGGTCTCTAATGCCCCCCACATCCCTGTGCATCTGGGAGCCATGCAGGAGACCGTTCAGTTTCAGGTACATTGCCCCCCTACTATCCCTTCCCCTGCTTCCCCTTCCCCACTGCACCTACCTCCTGGTTTTCAGATCAAGCATTTGGGGGCTGACCTCCACCCTGGTGATGTGCTACTAAGCAACCACCCCAGTGCAGGGGGCAGCCATCTTCCAGACCTAACAGTCATCACGCCGGTGAGGGGTATTGCCTGGGTACTTTTTGGTAGGGGGTCAAAGGCAGCTGACATAGCTGACCATTGGTTTCTACCCACTAGGTGTTTTGGGCAGCTCAGACACGGCCTGTGTTCTATGTGGCCAGCCGAGGGCACCACGCGGACATTGGGGGCATTACCCCAGGCTCCATGCCTCCCCACTCCACCACACTTCAACAGGAGGGTGCTGTCTTTCTGTCATTTAAGCTGGTCCAAGGGGGTGTCTTCCAGGAGCAGGGTGAGCAAGAATGGGACCATGGTGGGAGTGTAGCATGTTGGGATGCACCATTGCTGCTGGCAGCAGCCTCAGCTGACTCTGGGATACAGCCCAGCCCAGTCCTGCCCTGAGGCTCAGGTGGTAACCATACTAGGCAGTTACAAATTCTCTTTTGAATTGATAAGGAACTCATAATTCTACCTGGACCAGGAAGATGTTCTGGGGATTGGTTCAGTGGAGAACTTGGCCCGAGCACCCAAGAGGCAGAGTATAGGAGGGAAAAGGACCTGTTTTAAGGTGCATGGTTGTTACAGCCTACACTGGTGTCTAGGGACCGCACAGATCAGTGCCAGGAGTAAGGGGCTGCAGGTTTTAGAGAGTCTTCTGAGCCTGCATCTGGGTCTGAGTTCCTGAGCAGCAGGGCTGCTGCAAAGGACTTTCAGTGGGACCTGCGGTGCTGTATCTGCATACCCATCTGTAGAGGATGGGCGTCCTAGAGTAACCTGGAACTCAGGGAGGAGCTGTCCAGTGTGGCAGCAGAAGTCTCCCTAAATGATGCTGAGCATCAAGCTGGGTGGAGGATGGGGCTTGAAGGCAGCGAGAGATCAAGTTTGGATAGCTGGGAGATGGAGGCCCTGCGTTAAGCCGGCACAGAGCAGCCATAGGAAGGAAAAGGCAAGACTGAACTGAGGTCACAGATGTGGGAGGTCAGAGAGGTGTTCCAGCGTGAGGAGAGGTGAGAGGGCAGGGAAGGAGGGCAGGAGTAGAACCACCACAAGCCTTTCTCAGTACAGCAAACACAAAATGATTAGCCCTGGTCACTAGGAGCTGGGGCAGGGAGTAGATCGTGGAGGGGCAGTGTAAGTATGGAGCAGGGGCTCATGACCCAGACTGGAAGGCAGAGTGGTGCAGAGTGGTCCTGCTAGCAGACCTGCACTGCTTGCCAGGGTGAAAGGGGAACCTCATTCAGATCTGCGTATCCTGCCGTCCAGAGGGCAGGGTACAGGCCTATGCCTGATACTCTTGAAGGCCAGTAGCAGCAGTGACTGAGGGCAGGATAAGTGGCAGATGTCAGGGAAGTGGTTTTTCTCCTGGGAGAGGAAAGAGGGACCTAGAGAAGGAAGGAGGGGTGAAGGAGGGAGAGGAGTTTGTTAAGAGATGAATCTATTCCCCTCCTGCTCCCAGATACCTTCAGCCTCAGTGAGGTTATTGGCAAAGCTGCCTGCCCAGCATGACCTGGGATTCTGGCCCATAGAAAGAAGGCTCAGCAGAACGACGGGGGTGTTCAGGGCACTGAGTCAATAGAGGGGGTGGAAGAGCCTGCTGGGGCCAACGTGTAGGGCTTCCATTGCCCAGGGTCTGCAGTGGCTATGGAACAGGTGGCTCAAGATTTGGAGGATAACTCAGTGGTGACCTTTTCTCCATCCAGCGGTGACAGAGGCCTTGCGGGCACCAGGCAAGATCTCTGGCTGTAGTGGAACTAGGAACCTGCATGACAACCTGTCGGATCTCCGTGCCCAAGTGGCAGCCAATCAAAAGGGCATCCAGTTGGTGGGGGAGCTCATTGGGCAGTATGGTCTGGAAGTGGTGCAGGCCTACATGGGCCATATTCAGGTGGGTCTGGGAACAGGTACATTGGGGCAGTGCTGAGCCTTTCTCAGGACAGCCAGGCTACTCTGACGGTGGCATAGGTGTAGCTGATTCCTCTCGTTGCCAGGAAAATGCTGAGTTGGCAGTCCGTGACATGCTTCGGGCCTTTGGGACCTCCCGGCAAGTCCAGGGCCTGCCCCTGGAGGTGTCTGCGGAGGACCACATGGATGATGGCTCCCCCATCCGCCTCCGTGTACAGATCAACCTGAGTCAGGTCAGGACTATTAGGGAGGGACTGTCTGGCCTCAGAGGCCTTGCTGGCTCAGGGCTGCTGACCTCTCCTCTCTCCTGCCTCTCTTCTTTGCAGGGCAGTGCAGTATTTGACTTCAGTGGCACTGGGCCTGAAGTGTTTGGCAACCTCAATGCCCCTCGGGCCATAACGCTGTCTGCCCTTATCTACTGTTTGCGTTGTCTTGTAGGCCGTGACATCCCACTCAACCAGGTTTGTAGGGATGTGGTGTGTGGAGGAGGTCCCTACCAAGGCAAAGTCACCCCCAACTGATCAAGAGTGGGCAGAGACTAGTTTCTTCATGGGCTGGAACCTGAGAAGGATCCAGTTCTAACTGCACCTGGCTACCACCCACTCACCTGCACACAGGGCTGCCTGGCTCCTGTGCATGTGGTGATTCCTAGAGGCTCCATCCTGGACCCATCTCCAGAGGCTGCAGTAGTGGGTGGCAATGTTCTCACATCACAGCGTGTGGTGGACGTCATTTTGGGGGCCTTTGGGGCCTGTGCAGCCTCTCAGGTACATATAGGTGGGGTGGATGTAGTTCTGAGGCTGTCAGACTGACTGGTGGTACAGGGAATACATGCCCTACCCAAGCCAAGGGCAGTGACCACTTCCTTGCCAGGGTTGCATGAACAACGTGACCCTCGGCAATGCCCACATGGGCTACTATGAGACAGTGGCTGGAGGTGCAGGTGCAGGACCTGGCTGGCATGGGCGCAGCGGTGTGCATAGCCATATGACCAACACACGTATCACTGACCCTGAGATCCTGGAGAGCCGGTGAGCAGAGTGAGGGGGTGGGCAGCTGGGCAAGAATGGAGTTGGCTGACCTGAGCCCGTCTGTGCAGGTACCCAGTCATCCTGCGGCGCTTTGAGCTGAGGCCAGACTCTGGGGGTCAAGGCCGCTTCCGTGGTGGTGATGGTGTAGTTCGTGAGCTGCTCTTTCGTGAGGAAGCCCTGTTGTCTGTGTTGACTGAGCGCCGTGCGTTCAGACCCTATGGCCTCTATGGTGGGTGTCTCCCGGCCCCTCCCTCTCTGTTTCTGACCCAATCTGGGTCCCAAGCTCCCTATCTCCCCTACTTCCCCATTCCATGTTTCCTTGGATACCCTTGTACTTTGCCCCCTTCTGCAGGAGGTAAGCCAGGTGCCAGTGGCCTAAACCTACTGATCCGCAAGGATGGGCGCACAGTAAATCTGGGTGCAAAGACATCGGTGACTGTGTACCCTGGGGTAAGAGTGTCACCTGCTATCTTCTCTCCCCTCTTCAGCATTATTCCTGAGTTATGTTCCTCAGCCCTTTGAGACTTATTCTGAGTCATTAAGTTGCTCAAACTTGTGATTCTCCCACCTCAGTCTCCCAGAATGCTGATATTACAAGTGTGTGCAGACTCTGATGTTTAAGAGGGCTGCTCACTAGTCTTCAGAGGGGCAGATAATTGCTTTGGCTTGGGGCAGGGCTATCCCTACTCTGAACTGGTACCTCTTCTCCACAGGATGTATTTTGCCTTCATACTCCTGGTGGCGGGGGCTATGGAGATCCAGAAGACCCTGCCCCACCTCCCGGCTCGCCCCCACAATTCCCAGCCTTCTCTGAACGTGGCAGTGTCTATGAGTACCGCCGGGCCCAGGAGGCTGTATGAAAGGCCCCACAATAAAGATTTCCTTAAGTCTGCCAGTTCTGGGGTATGATTGTCTCTGCGCTGTGGTCTGTGTCACCTGCCATGCCTGTGATCTGTGTGCCATATTTAGGAGGACACTGAGTGTTCCATGAGCACCACCAGGACAGTACTGAACATCCCCTGTTTGTCTTCTAGGGCAGGAGTCAGGTTAGAGGTGGTCCCAAAGCTGGCAGACCTAGCTGCCCTGAGTGCTGGCATTTCTGGTACATGATGTAGTCCAGGCAGTAGCCACACCAGAGTTTAGGTGGGTGATCTCAGTAGGGCTCCTGCTTGATAGAAGTGGTGCCACCTTTCTCTTGCTCCATGGCCCTGGGCAGGGAATCCCTTCCTCTGTGGGTCCTAGCATTCCACTTGCCTCTGCAGCATCCCCAGGAGCTTGAATGTGATTGGGATTAACCCTGTAAGGGGCTGAAGGTGGTGGAATCACCAGGAGCTTCACAGAAGGGTCATCTCCAGCCTTCCCTTAAGGTACAGTATCAGAGCCCAGGGAATCAGCTGGCAGGGGACTTACTTGGAAATAGCTGAAGAGCTTGTGCTGTGGTGGCTCCTGCACATAAATGCAGAGAAGCCCAATGCTTGGTGAGTCTTAACCCTGCCTTGCCCAGAACTTCACCCCACCTAGGTAGTAGTCAGGAGGTTGAGGCAGAAAGATCGCTGCAAGTTCATGGTCATCCTGGGCTACATAGTGAGTTCAAGGCCAGCCTGAACTACATATGAAACTATCTTACAAGAGCATTCTGAAGGCCTCAGACTGCTTGGTCCAGTTGTGCAGCAGCAACAGCTGAGTGTAGGATAAGGGTGGGGGTATGCAGTGTGATCAGCCCAGGGTGGCCCTCTGCATCCTGGACATCTGTCCCCCAACCAGATCCTGATCTGTGTACTCCCAAGGCCTTTCTGGGGACTTGTGGTGCTTGGGTCAGGGAACAGACAGAGGTGGGGAGAAAAGTGTGGGTGGTAGTGCCCTTCTCTCAGGGCTCACCAGTTGGTGCATTCACATGTGTGAGGTGTAGGAGCCCCTCAGTGAAGCACCTGCCCAAACTACTTAGCTGGGCCTGTAGTGTCACTAGAAGCTCCAACTCCTTTTGTCTATTTGGCCCTAAAGCTCATTTGCTTCCCACTAGGGCGTAATGTGGCCTGGAGTTGGGAGGTTCTGTACCAAAGTGTGAGGCTAATATGATAACCACTACACTACAGAAACCAATCCTGTATCCAGGTGGACAGCAGGCCTCTGGAGGCCAGTGCATCCTCCTCACAGGCACTGGGGGAACAACAGAGGGTGGTGTGTAGCAGTGGGAACAGTGTGACAGGAGGAACCTGCTGCCTAGCAGCTTGCTGTTGGTCCCAGGCCGCACATGCAGTGTTTCCCTATCATGCAACACTGGGCTGCGTGGAGATCAAACAACTCTTAAAGGCATGCAGAGTCCAGATATGTCCATCAGCGCTGCACTCAGCACCCCAGGCCACAAGTGGCTGCATTTGGTAGTTTAAGCCACAGGCTGGCTAGCTGTGCAACACCAATGACTTAAGCAAACAGATGCCTGTGCACCAAGTGGCTGAAGTGTACCAGTCTATCAAGGAGCAGGCACAGATTGGTAGCATGGAAGATGAATCCATACACTTATGCTCAGCAGACAGCACCCGCACCATAAAGGTGGCCTGGCAGCAAAATGCCACCTCAGCCTGTCGGGGTTTACCACGAGAGTCCAGCAGCCAAGCAGCTTGTTGAGTTTAATAGGTCATGAAAAGTGGCCCACAGCAACATGGTGCAGTTCCTGGTACAGGAAGGGTGAGGGCTGCAGGGCAACAAAGGGGCTGGTCTGATAGGGACTACATGGCACACAGGGTTCCTTGGCTGTAAGGGGCCCAGGATACTCACTTTCAGCATCAAGTTAAACCGTAGGTGAGTTCACATGAGCTCTGGTGGTTTCTCAGGGATCAAGACAATGTGGTACAGCCTTTGGGGAGAACTGGGAATGCGCCATGACTGACTTGCCCAAGGGTTCAGATGCTAGGAGAAGCCTCTCTCTCCTTATCTGTGCAAAATTTCAGCAGCTTATAGGAAAAGTAAGAATGAAAGTGAAGGGACCCTGGCCTTACAGTCCCACAAGAGATACTTTTTGTCATGTCCACTCGAAACTGCAGGGAAACTCTAAGGGCTCTACCCTATGCCAGCAGAGTCTGGAGTGCAGGGCATACTCTTTGAGTAAGGGCAGGTATGGAGCTGCTAAGAAGCCAGTGTGTTGCATTCTGGCTCCTCCCCTATCAGGTTCCTCTGGCCACTCCCCACTGCCCTGAAGGATCTAGATTTTGAGTTCAAAGACCCAAAGCCAATGGAAGGCAGCTTAGTGCCTTGCATAGGCCCCCAAAGTCTGGTCCATAGTGTTGGTTCTCCTAGGATCTTTCCTCAAGGAGCTTTCTCTCTGCAGGTGTAGGGATTTTAGATGCCCTATGATGACTCCTCCTGGGCATGCCAGCCAGGAAGAATGCTCACCCATTCTCTGAACACCCTGGCAGTGGCTCTATAGGTTTCTGGGGTAAGATACTATCACTACCACACCCAGACTCTTGCTTATTCTCTTTGAATGCCCACCTTTCTAATTGCAGGTATCAGCCAAAATTCACCCTTCAATCTTCCTGGTACAAATACTTTTTATCATCGTCGTTATCATCATCATCATCTTGTTTTTTGTTGTGAGACAAAGTATTACTATGTAGTCCAGGCTAGCCTCAAAATCTAGGTGATCCTCCTGGCTCAGCTTCCCAAGTGCTTGAGATTATAGGCATGCACTATCATGCTCAGCCAAATGCCTTTCAGACTGTACTGCAGATTTGGGTCCGGACTACTTTCTACCGAGGTTGCCACGGAGATAGAGGGGCTTTTGGTTCTCATCTGGTCAAGCTGCCCTCGTGTTGTTCTCTGGAGAAGTCCTGCTGTGACTGTTCCAGGGGCTGTGCTGTCTGACTGGATCCCCTGAAGTTTCCAGAGGACTAGGAGTGGGAACAGAAGGCAGCAAGCTCCTGAGGCCTGGCATTCACGACGGAGGGCCTCAGAGCACTCCATACTCCTCTGTCTTGAACTCCTTACTTGGTAGCTGACAGGACTCTTGTTTGAATCCAGAGCCTGTGGCCCCTTCATCTCCTGAAACCCTGTCTAACCAACAGTCATTGTGCTCTGGGACCCTGCTCAGTTGGCGTCTTTCTCCCCACCTCCCTATCCTAGTCTCTGGCCCCTCCCTCAGGCGGGGAGGGCCAGAAGGCACTCTAGGCTTTCCCGTGCTGCCCTCTTTCCCTACACCCCCTTATCCATCCTAGCCTATACCCCTCAGCTTCCCACACCACCCACAGCCCTTCCCATCTCAGTCTAGGTCACCTCCCGCATTCCATCCGACCTCCAACCTCCCTTTTCCCTCCCTTGCCCTGCCTATGTGACCCATGTGCCTCAGCCCCTCGACTGGCAGTTATGAGCCCCCACACCCAGGCCTCCAGGACCCGCTTCTTTCCAGGCGTTGGGAATTTTGGAAAGGGACTGGCATCTCCCTGCTGTCCTTCGCTCAGGTTTGGGTGAAGCTGTTTTCTTAAGGCTCTCTTCCCTTTACTGCTTTCCTGCCCTCCAGGCCCTAACGCTCTTCACCCCTAGTTCCTGCCTACTATGGAAAGAGGGAATCCCTCCCTGCTTGCTTCACTCCTCCACAGTTTCTGTTCTTCTTGACCCAAGCCTCAGAGTTTTCACTGTTTTCATCACCAAGAAAAAGGGACTTGGAGGTTTCTGACCAATGCCAGTCAAGTGCCATGCCTTGCTCCAGAGCTCTCTCTAAGAGATGGGCATGGAACTCCACAGAAGGCAGGACTGAAGGACCCTGGTGCAGGGATCTGGCAAGCCACCCAGAAGTGGTAGCACCTCAGAACAGCCTGGGCCCAGTGGTATCCTCTATGGGAAGCTTTAATAGCTGTGCATAGGACTGCAGAGCACAGCATGCCTGGGCCAGCTGGACTTCAGTGTTACCAGATGAACATTGGCTTGCCATCATCATGTGCCAGCTGATTGAGGCAGGAGAGCAGGAGCAGTGCATCAGTGAGCATACTAGGATGCACGGTCTCCACCAGCACCCGCTGCAGGAAGTCCACAGTGTAGCAGCCACCCTCGGATGCAGCCATCTCTGGCCGTTCACGCAGTATACCGTAGGCATTCACTAGCTGCTCTGTCAGCGCTGGATGCACCCGTCCATTGTAGCCCAGACTCTGCAGCTTGTTCATGATGCTCACGTAGCGTTGTGTGAGTGTCTGGCACAGTTCTTCATCCAGCTTGTGGTCATGGGGGTTCAAAGAGGCCTGCGGGGAAAATGGCTGTCAGAGACCTTCTAGCCCCATTCTGGCCCACAGGCAGGCAAGGGAACCGGAGGCAAGCACAGCTGAAGGAGGCTGTTGAGTATGGCAGACCACAATCCAGGGGGCTGCACAAGGAGGTCCTAGGGGAGGGGCCTGAGGAATCTGGGTAGGAGAGCCCAGTGACCTGGAGCCTGAGGTAGAGGCCCCCCAAAGCTCAATCCAACTCATAACAGGGCCAGAGGCTCCCTAAAACTCAAGTATCCATCCCTGTGGCCTGCTCCATCTTCCACGAGATATTTGAGATCAGGCCAAGGTCACCAGGAGCTGAGGACAGAGAGTGTAAGTGGGAATCTGGAGGCATAAGAAAAATGAGGGGCTTTTTATGTGTCTAGAATTGCCTGGTCCCGGATTCTGTGGGTCTTTCTCAGGCTTCTCCTAGCTCCTCTGCCTGCTGCCTCTCTGCCTCCTCTGAAGGCTCCTCTTTCATTATCTGGGCTCCATCCTGAAAGGGCCTCTCGGCCCTAGCACTAACAGTCCTGTGGCCCCAGTGCCTGGATATGGGGATCAACTGCACTGGTTCAGTCTCCTCTCATTTTTTCACCCACTGTACTCTCAACGGGGCAGTGACTGCATCAGTCAAAGATCCTTTCTAACTATTACTTAGTGTTTCTGTTGTACCAGTTATCTTCCTAATTAAGGGGAACTGCATTCTCCTATATGTATTTATTCTAAAACCAAGATAAAAAGAAATAAAACTTAAAATGACCAAGGTGCTCAATTTAAAGAAGTGACTGTTTTAAGAGGGTGGAGCCAGGTGTGGTGGTGCATGCCTGTAATCCCAGCACTCAAAAGGCTGAGGTAGGACTGCCACAAGTTGAGGCCAGCCTGGGCTACATAGCGAGTTCAGGGGCAGCCTTGGCTATATAATAAGACCCTGTTTCAAAAAACAGAAGCAAACATACAAACAAAAAAGAGTAGAAGCCAAGCATCTTTTTTTTCCAGTCTTCACTACACCATAGCATCTGGACTTTCGGCAGGCAGGTGGCCACGAGGCAGGGAGTGGGACTTCCACATAGAGGCGAACACCTGAAGTAGACTATCAATATGGCACTATTTCTTCAGGGGCATCTGCCAGATTGGGAGCATCCGACTAGGTGCCTGCATGCTCTCCTGGGTTAGTGGACTGTTCCCTAGGAAAGTCCCTTGCTGTATTGGGATTTTTCTGGGCAATACAGCAAACAAGCCTAATTTGTATCTATCCTGGAACTTTAACCTCCTGAACATGTACAATAAACGATTTCCTTCTTATACCAGCTAGTGTGGATTTTATTATTTGCAGCCAAGGACACTTACTGATTTGCCTAAGAGAAAGTCTGATGAATAGCCCGAAACACATTTCACACTGAATGGGGAGACTAGTGTTCTTGTCAAGGTGGATACAAGGGAGGGTTGTCCACGTGACCCGGTGCTTGTGCATATTTTGCTCAAGAATCTAAATATCAGCTACAATGTGCTAAAGAAAGAAAGGAGACTTAGGGTTTGATAAGCTCAGCTTATCTAACATGCATAAGATCCTGGGTTTATTCCCAGCACTAATGAGGGAGAGGAAAAGAGAGTGAGTGAGGGAGAGAGATTTAAGGAGATTACTTGGAGTAACTTCATTGCACAGTGTATGCTTGTATTCACATATATGGCACCTCATTAATATCCCATGTCTTTGTTTCTTTATATTAGTTTAAATATATTTGATTTAAAAGGGAATAGAAGAGTTGCAACTGTCTATATGATATGATTGACTGTAAGAAAAGCAAGACCATATATAACCTATTAGAACTAGTAAGAGGGTTTGGATACCAAATAATGTTGCAAAACTCAAAACATTCTTAGCAGTCCAGCAAGAGGCACCAGAGGCTGTGGCTGTGTCCAGGGCACCACCTGCCCACTTACACTGACCCTGTTCCTATCACATGGATACAGCTGGACTGAAGGTCTCCTAGGGCTAGGGTGCTGAGAACAAAGCTCAGAATATTTTCCAGAGAGGAGATCTTGGTAAGGAGTGATGGGTGTGACCACTGGCAATGCTTTTAGTTGGTTTATAAAACATGTCACAACTGCAAACTCATTAAAAAACATACAGATTCAATGAAATGTCAGCAGTGAGTCTTCACTGAATAATGAAGCTCAGTTCAAGCTTTTCAGTCACATGGCCTAAAGTTTCATGGCAATCCTGAAGCAAATGACTTAGGTCTAAGTAGAATTTAGGAAGTCTAGCAGCAGCTATCATTGGAGTTCAGTAGAAGAAACTATTTTGTGGAAGGGAAATGAAGGCTGGTCCAAGTGGACTTAGATTCAGATATGGATCAACAATGATCCCTTAGACAACTAGATGATATGAAGACCAGGAAATAGATTTAGGATTCCTGAATGGGACTAGATATTTGTCAGTTTGAAATGGGCCCTCAGAGAGCCACGCTGGGTATTAGTCCAGGTCCCAAAGGGCACTTCTCTAAAGCCTGGCTTGAGAGTAGCTATTCCCAAGAGGAATGAAAGTCCCTGGGAAGCAAGTATATAATGGCCACTGCTGATAGAGGAATAGTGGGTGTGGAATTAGTGATGGAGGCCCTTGGGCAGCATAACTAGAGTGAAGTAGCCAGCATGGTTCAGAGGGCGCCGCACTGGTTTGCATTCCTTAGATTCAGAGAGAAATAGTGCTCTTTCGTCTCCTGCCTTTTTCCTAAAGAGTCACGCTTAAGTGCTATGACTGGCAAATTTTACAACCTAGGTGATACCTCGTATGCTAAGGGTAAAGGAACCATGGGAAGGGAGTACTAGCCCAGTACTAGCACAGCCCCTATATCGGAGGTCCACACATTTTTATCAACTTCCATTTAAAAGTCCATTTTCACACAGCAAGAAGCCTCTTTTCAAAGTAATTTCTACAAAGAGAACGAGACTTTTGCTAATAATCAAATGTTGTCTTTGCTAACCAGACATCAGATGCTAAAGTTTAGAGACCTAATTATGTTTCTACAGTGTGCCTGCCAAGTTTTAAGTTACCCTGGAGAGTCTGCACTGCAAGAGGGTGGTTGTGGTCTTGAACAGCAATAAAGAGTCAGCAATTAGACCAAAGGGTCCCCTTGGCATAAGCAACATAAACCTCAAGGTGCTGAGGATGATCATGACAGGCAGAGATGGTGTCTACAGATCAGCACACCGTAATCCATCAACCAATATAAAACCACTCAAAATCTGAACCAGGTTTTAGCCGGGTGTGGTAGTACACACCTATAATCCCAGCACTTGGGAGGTTGAGGCAGGATTGTTTTGAGTTCAAGACCAGACTGGGCTACAAAGTGAATTAAAGGCCAGTCTGAACCGCATAGTGAGACCCTGTCTCAAAAATAAAAGATATGAACCAGGTTTTCCCTGGAACTTGATGAATTGATCCTAAAACTCACATTGAAGGGAAGAGGTAAGATGATGTGGGAGAAGAACAAGAAGGGGCCTGCCTTGCGTGACACACAGCTCCATGGGCCCCCATGATGAGGCCAATTTGGGTGGGAGTTTGATTGAGTGGAGAGCCACACAGATGCAGGTCGAAGTGGGCACTGAAGTGGGCTCTGGGCAACCAGACGTGCTATGGCCTGGCTGTGCTCGGATCTTACAGCTGTGAGCCCAGAGAAGCTGACCTGATGGCCTGCCACCATTATCCTATCCACATAGCCCTCCTTGTCTCCTGTCTTGCTGTCCCTTGTCCCAATGTCCCTCAGGCCTAGGGACTGTCCCTTCACTAACACTACTACTTGAGGCTCTGTACTCTGGCTATGTGCTGGCCTGGGGTCATCCTGATCCAATGGGTCTTCTGTGTCCTGCTGGCCTCAGAGGCTAGACAAGGGGCTATCAATGCTCAGGAGAGGGATTTCCCTTTTTACACCATCCAGTATAATCAATTATCAGACAGAAGCAGACTCAACTGAAAATATGAAACTCCAAAACTTCAAAAATAAATAGATTACAGGTGGCACACCCTGTAATCTCAGCACTTGGAAGCTGAGGCAAGAGGATTACTGTAAATTTGAGACTAGCCTGGGCTACAAAGTGAGCTCAAGGCCAGCCTGAACTGTTAAAACAAACAAAACACCAAATAGAATAGAATGTGGAAATTATAGTGTTTTCAGATATGGAAGAATTTTTTTAGTTATTAGTACATGTGCATAATGTTTACATCGCTTGTGGGAAGTTGGTACACATATGTAAAACAACTTTTTCTCCCGTCTCTTGATCCTCTTCCTTATTTGGGGGGGGGGCGTACATGTTTATGTACATAATGTGTCCATTCCTTGTATGAAGTTGGTACATGTACATATCCCACCTCCATCCCATTTTCACCCCTATGCCTTCCCTTCCTGCCCCTTCCCATCATCTCTTGATCCCTTTTCCTTTTTTGAGAATGATATATCTGCCTACTTCCTATTATCTATCTTTTATTTTGCCATTTATTTTTACTCTGGGTTTCTCATTTAAGAGAAACGATGTGATTTTTAAGTTTTATGTCAGTAGTTCACCTAGAAAAAGATTCCTTAAGTAAGATGTGAAGTGTACAAACAATAAGGGCAAAGTTGACAGTTCTGGCATTAAAATTAAATACCTAACAAAAAGGAAAGGCAAGCTTAAACCTGCCTCCCAGATCAGCCCTTGTAACTTAAAGTTACTCCTGCCTAGATTTCACAATCTACAAATAAAGGCAGCTTAAAGGAATGCGGGAAGAGGAATGGTTGGAAGCCAAGTGCGGGGGCAGAGGCCTGTAATCTTAGCACTCTGGGAGACTGGGATAGAAGAATTACAAGTTTGAACCCAGCCTGGCAACTTAGTGAGACACTGTCTCAAAATGAAAAATGAAAAAAAAAAAGTGGTGGGGATGTAGCTCAGTACACAGCCCTGGATTCAGACTCCAGTAGCATGCATTGGAGAGAGAGAGAGAGACAGAGAGAGAGAGAGAGAGAGAGAGAAAGAGAGAGAGAGAGAGAGAGAGAGGTAGAGAGAGAGGGAAAGGGAGAGGGAGAGAGATAGACAGACAGACAGACCTTGACAGAGTTCAGGAACACAGGTGAGACCATTTTCCCAAAAGAAGCCCAAATGTGGCTTATAAGCAGGATGGGGCCCTCACTTCCTTGCCTCCAGCAGCCCTGTGTTGGCCACAACGGGGCTTCCAGGTGACTCGAAGCTGCTCTAGAGCACAGTGCAGACCTATACCCATAGCACTGCCTTCCTCCCCCAAACCTTCCACAGACTGTCACACATAGCAGTTGATGATGCCGAGAAATGCTCCAACCCTCCCAGAGGAGGAGGCTAAGTACCTTGGGAAAACACTGGAATGAAGTCCCAGGTGACAAGTCTGCCAGCTGCTCAGCATCTCCAGGGCCTGTGTCCCCTGGCTCAGCCCCTGGGAGTTACGGCCACCCATCTGGAGGCTGTGGGGGTGACAGAGGTGGAGAGCCACCTGTCTATTTTTGGGACTCCTTGCTTTGCTCTTCTCTGGAGAGGCTGTAAGGTAGGGACCCTGGACATCTGCTGACTGCTGGGGCAGAGCACTGGGCTTCCTCCATTCCAGGATCCCTTTGGAGTCCAAAGAGTTTAGCCTCACAGTAGGGAAGGCTCCCTAGTTGTCCCTCAGGGCCAGCATACCACCCCATCCTTGCAGGCCCCCAGCAGCAAGGAATGGATGGCCACACACCTGGATGATCTTCTCTGGAATGTTGGAGACAGTGAAGCCATAGAGGCGCACACGCTCAGGGAAGATGCTGGACAGGATCCTGCGGTCCAGCTGGAAGGCAATCTCCCCCACTAGCCTTTCCCAGGACAGCTGCTTTGACTCTGGAGATGACAGAAGGTCTTGGTTGAGTGTGGAGTGGGGGTGGAGGGTGGGAGGTGGAGGGATACAGTCCTCATCAGCAGCTCAGGGAAGCAGCAGGATAGACGGCTAGGGGCCCCCAGGAGAGTCCTGTGATGTCACTGACCTTGGGAGCCATCAGGGAATTTGCTAGATTTGCGGTGAGTCAGTTTCCGCTCCAACTCCAGGGCGTTTTTCCGATTTGTCTCCGTGGTACGTGGACACCGGGTGTCCGTGACCGAAGCCGGGACGGATGAGGTCCGAGGAGAGGTGTGAGGGTTTCGTGGAGGAGAGTGGGAGGTGCACACTGACCGGGAGGTGGGGTGGGTAGTGCTCAAGGGGGTGTGGTTGGTAGCAGCTTGAGGAGCAGGGGTAGGGGCAGAGCTGAGGACTCTGCCAACTGGGCAACTGCTTGAGGAGGTGAGGACAGAGGCAGGAACCTTTTGTCCTTGGGGGACACTAGGCTGGGCCCGGGCATCTGAGGTACCACAGGAGAAGGCTACCCCTGGACCAGAGTGGCTGCTCAAGGGGCAAGTGGCCACAGTACTGACAGGGGTGGACGCCTGGAGGGGTGCGCCCATAAATGTCACACTGAGAGGCTCTGCGTCTTGGGTGGGTTGTGGGTGTTCATTGGAGAGTGCTAGTGATTTGGAAGAGGGCAAACATGAGAGGAGGGGCATTAGAAAGCAGCAGGACAAGAGCAGAGACTGGCCCTCCCAGGACACCCTGCACCCCTTCCCTGCCCCTATTACCTTTGGAGCTGGCGGCATGCCCTGTCCCAGCTGAGGAGTAGGGCCCAGAAGGGCTTCCTTGGAGTGGCTCTGCCAGCCGCAGCCTTGGGGCCTCTGACAGCACCAGGTTGCTCATGGGGTTGGCTGCAAGGTTCTGAGAGACACTTAGAGGGGTAGAGGTGAGTAAGGGGCTACTTAGAGAGACAGCAACTGGGCCTGGGCTGGCCATCAGGGGGCTGCTCTTAGACATGGCCAGGGGGCATGCTAAGGGGCTGCTTGGAGTCAGGGAGCCAGTGGAGGTCAGGCCCAAGGAACCAGGCAGGGTGGTCCCAGGGGATACTGCCATGGGTCCAATCAGGTGGCTACTCATGGGGCAAGTGGAGGGCATGCCCAGATTGCTGGCTAGGGTGGCCCCTGGGGAAACAGCCATGGGACCAGTCAAATGGCTGCTTAGGGGGCCACTCAGGATGCTGGAGAACTGACTACTCTGTGACCCAGGTGCTGGGTTGGGCAGCAGTGTGTTGCAAGGGCCGGTCAGGGGGCTCGTGAGAGAGCCAGCTGTAGGGCTGAGGTGTGAGCTGCTCAGCATGTCGACCATGGGTGCCAGGGCTACAAGCCCTACATCTTCCAGGACTGGTTCATTTGCTGCTGCTGGGGACGGGGACAAGAAGATACCTGGGAAACACAGAGAAAGCACTGAGATACCAGGCGAGCCTACCAGGAGCAAGGGAGAGGAGGGAAGGGCCTAGATAAGGTGCTGAGCTGCCTCACTTCTCACAGGGTCCGGGTGGTGACCTGTAGGACTGCTACAGGACATTCCATGCCCATCTTGGAGGACCCTGGACTTGGGCTTTGCAGCCCTCAGTAGTGCCACCTGTACTGAGCTGAGGACCCAGGAAAGGAGAGTTTTTCAGTAACTGACCTACCAGGTAGCCAAGTTGGTCTATGGTGAGGAGGAGTGGGCCTATTTCTTTTGGTGACTGTCCTTGCAGGAGCTAGGAGCCCACTAGGCAGGGGTCAGAGTTTCAACAGTAGAGCCTGAAATGGCCCAGGGTACACACACAGTCCTTCCATTAGGGAGTTTGGATCTAGGAGGGCAAGTAGGAGTCTGAAGCCCATTTTCTATGTGTTCTGGAGGAGATCTCCCTTGAATGACCACACTTGGGGGGAAGTCCTTTGGAAGTATAGTTGTTTTTGTCAGTATACAATTTAGCTTACAACATCTACTTTGTTGTTATTGATATCAAAGCAGCACATACTTCTCATAAGAATAGAAACACATTCTTGGTGAATATTTTCGGTAAAAAAAGAAAAACAAAAGAATAGAAACACAGAAAATTAAAAATATGAAAAACGACTGATAGTCCAGTCACCCCATGGTAAGACATTGTTGAAAAGCTCCTTGTTGCTATGCAGACCTAATGCTCACATCAATCAGGGATCAGTAAAAGGTCAGGTGGTAAATATTTCCAGCTTTGCCAGCCACATGATCTCTATCCAACTCCTCAAGTCTGTCATCCTAGTGTGAAAGCTGTCAGAGAAAACTCAAAAGTGAATGACCATGGATGTGTGTCAATAACCTTATAAATGGACACCAATTTTTGGATTTTATGTAATTTTTATGTGTCACAAAATAGTATTCTTTTTATTTTTTCCAACCACCTTAAAAACCATTTTTGCAATACTGAGGGTTCAGCTCAGGGTCTTTGCACTGAACTATATCCCAGACCTTTTTTTATTTTTTGTTTTAAGATAAGGTCTTACTAAGTCACCTAGGTTGGGCTCAAACTTACAATCCTCCTGCTTCAGCTTCCTAGTGTGCTGGGATTATAGGACCACACTGCTATACATGATTTGTATAATTGATTCTTAACTCACACTTGTGTACAAACCAGAGGCAACTGTCTTCTGGGAATGTGACTACTGTGATGTTACTGGCAAATCAGGGCTAAAACATTGAGGATCCAAAAAAAAAAAATTGAGGATCACTGGATGGCTCTTGGCTGACCTCCCCAGAGGAAAACAGCTCAATCTGAGCTTCAGACCAGATTGAATTTTAGATAAAGTCAGTAAAGAGAAGGATTATCAAGGATGCAAGTCACAGAAAACATAACATCAAAATATATAATGCAAAAACCACAAGGACTTCCAGGTGACACTAAATGGTAACTACCCAGATCCAGGCCAGCTATGCTATTTAAAAAGCTGGGCTAATATACACTGGAGGAATTAAACAGCAGAGTTGAGCATGTTGGAAAAAAGAATTAAAAAAAAAGAAAAAGAATCAGCAAACTGGAAACTAAATTAATTGAAATTATTCAGTATGAAAAATAAAAGGAAAAATGAACAGAGGTTACACAACCCATAGGAGACCATCCAGCATATTCTTTTCTCTTCCTCCTGGAAGGACTAGAGAAAAGGAAAAGAGTAGAAAAAAATATTTGAAAAAATCATATTTAACAATTTTCCAAATTTGGTGAGAGAGATGAATCTACATATCAATGAAACTTGATGAACTCCAAGTAGGATAAACTCAAAGAGATATATACTGAGACATATTATAACCAAACTCAAAAGACAGAAGTCTGCAGCTGTAGCATGCTTGAGGTCCTGGATCCAATGCCCAGGGCAAAAAAAGAAGCAAAAGAAAAGTGATTTATGAATGAAGAAAGGGATCCTATATAAGACTAACAGCACGTTTTCCACCAAAAACCAAGGCCAGAAGGCAGTGGTATAACAACTAAAATGCTGAAAGGAAAAAATCTAATGGGAATTATGGAATTATATATCATACAAAATGATCCTTCAGAAATGAAGGAAAGTCTGGCATGGGGGCACACACCTATAATCCCAGCCACTAAAAGACTATGGCAGACCTAAAATGGTGGAGCAGTAAGCAGAAGAGATGCTGGAATATAGCATCATGAGGAAGACAAGGAGGAGGGAAGTGGGTCCACTGGACCCAGGAAGAATATGAAATATGAATGGAAGCCCACAGAGAGAGTGAAGAGAGAAACTTCAACAAAGAAGGTAGTTGGTGGCTACTTGAGATAGGACTCATCACACAAGAGGAGTGGTTTGAACCTGCAGGTGCATGGTGATGGTGACAACTGGTGACCCTGGAGGCTTCTACAGAGAGACATAGCAGCGGAAGGGAATAATAGACTTGAAAGACTGCACTGGCTGGCAGTGAGTGCAGAGGACTTAGTCCTCCTCTGGGAGAGAGTGATTGGCTGGGAGCCATTTTGGAGATGGGAGGGGTGTAGCTTAGAACTCAGAACTGCAGCTGGTTCCATCTAGCAGCTCGCAGCTGTGCTTAGACCTGCAGAAATTGCTTGGACGGCAACAAGCCCAATGAGTCTGGTCTTTAGGCAGGTCTGCTGAGATTATCCACTACCCCACCAAAAAGCTACTGCTGGCTGCACGAACCAGGACTTTCTCCATGGGCTATCTACTAGTGGAACCAGAGAGACTCCTGGAAGTGGACTTTTTGTTTTTTTCTCTTTGTCCTTCATTGTTTGATGAAATTAAAGAAATCAGGCATGGTAACACATGCCTGTAATCCCAGCACTTGGAAGGCTGAGGCAGGAGGATCAATGTGAGTGTGAAGCCAGCCTGGGTTACAAAGTGAGTGGAAGGCCACCTTGAACTGCATCGTAAGACCTTGCCTCAAAAAGATAAAAAAAATTACAGAAGAAATTAGACAGTTTTTATAGTTGAATGATAATGACAATACAACATACTGGAACTTATAAGACATAGTGAAAGGAGTCTTAAAGAGGAAAATTTATAGCAGTAAATACCCATATCAGGAAAACACCACAAGCTCATTTAAATCACTTAATGGTGAACCTCAAATTTCTGGAAAAATAAGAGCAGACTAAGCCAAAAGCTTATATGAAGGAGAAAATTATAAAGATCAGAGCAGAAATTAACACTTGAGGCTAAAAAAAAAATACAAAGAATCAATGACTTGAAGAGTTGGTTCTTTGAAAGATGAAATGAAATTGACAATCTCTTATCCAACCTTATCAAAAAAGAAAGGACTCAAATCCATGCAATTAGGAATGAAAAGGGTGAAATCACAGCAGACCCTGCAGAAATCCAGATCATCTATAGTTACTTTGAAAACTTGCATTCTACCAGGGATTTAGCTCAGTGGCCTAAACGCCTGCCTACCAAGTGCAAGGTCATGAGTTCAATTCCTGGTACCAAAAAAAAAAAAAAAAAAAAAAAAAGAAAAAGAAAAAAGAAAAAAGAAAAGTTGCATTGTAATAAAGTGGGAATGCAGAAGTAAAGGATAGATTCCTAGATACATATGAATTACCAAAGAAAGCATTCTTTTGCTTTCATATGAATCAAGAAGATATAAAATATTTTTTAAAAATGGATACCAGGGATTGAACTCATGACTGTGCACTTGCAAGGCAGGTGCTTATGCAGCTAAGCTAAATCCCCAGCCCCATAGATATAAAAATCTTTTTAAAAAATTTTTATTTAAAAGGAAAAAGAGAAAAAACAAAACAAAACAAAGCAGTGTAAGGGTACAAGTAATACAGAACTACAAAAAAAAAAAACAGTAAGAAATCACCGGTTAATAGATTACATATTATCATCTTAGAGATAGTTGCTCAAATCACAGTATCAAAGCATACAAAGTGGACACTCAAACAGTGAGACTGCAAACAGTTGTGTTCAATGATCCAACCAAAAACATTAATATGGTCAGCAATTTAACACCTCTAAACACTCTTGCTGTTGAGATATAAAAATCTTAAATAAAGCAATATCAATCAATGAAATCAAAGATGTAATTAAAAACCTATCAGCAATCAAAAAAAATCCCAGGCCCTGATAAATTCACTGCTAAATTCTACAAGAAATTTAGAAGCCTAACATCACTACTTCTCAAATTCTTTAGTGAAATTTAAAGAGAAGCAATACATCCAAATTTATTCCTAGAAGCAAGCATTACTTTGATTCCAAAACCAGAGAAAGACCCGCCTAAGAGAATTACAGGCCAACCTCCCTAATGAACATTAATGCTCATTAAGATGTTGGCAAACAGAATACAGCAAATCATCAAGAAGATTATACACCATTATCAAGTAGGATTCACCCCAAGGATGCAGGGATGGTTCAACATATGTAAGTCCATAAATATAATATACCATACTAAAAGAGCCAAGGACAAAAATCATATGATCATCTCAATAGACATAGAAAAAGCTTTTGACAAAGTTCAGTACCCATTCATGATTTTAAAAAACCCTACAAAAATTGGAATAGATGGTCTTTATCTTAATCTGATAAAAACCATCCATGACAAGCCAATGGCCAACATCATATAAGTGGACAAAAACTTAAAATCATCTCTAAAACCAGAAACAAGACAAGTATGCCCAGTGTCACCACTCTTATTCAACATAGTTCTAGAAACTAATTAGACAAGAGAAAAAAACAAAAGGAATAAAGAAAGGAAAGGAAGAAGTTAAACTATTGTTATCTGTGGACAATATGATACTCTACATAGAAGACCCCAAACACTCCACTGAAAAATTGGTAGGTAGACTTATTTATTTATTTATTTTTGAGACAGGATCTCATTATGCAGTTTAGACTGGCTTTGAGCTCAGTTTGTAGCTCAGTCTGGTCTGAAAATCACGATTCTCCTG